GTATGAAACAGTTTGAATAATATAAATTAAAAAAAAAAATACAACAAATTCAAATAAATTAAAAAAGAATTAAAAAGTTAATAAACGATTTTAAGATCTTGAATTTAAATGAATAAGCGATTTTGAATTATAAAAAAAAAAGATAATATCAAATGGTTTTAAAATACTAAACGATCTGAATATTAAAACTAATTTAATGTTGAAGCGCTGTTGATACATATATATCAACGATTTGAAATATGTAAAAAGTTTTAAATTAAATAAATGAGTTGATCTTGAATTAATAAAACGGTTTAAATCAAATATGCGGATCAGATCGATTGAAACGTTCGGGCGAGGCGTGTGATTCGGCTGGTTCGTTTGGATCGATTTGGTCCGTGTGAAATGGATTGTTTATTTGGTTCGGTCCAGTTGATACGGATGGTTGAGCCGGGATGGATCCACACGTGGTCACGAGCTAATTGCGGTAGTTAAAGATGGTGGCAGTGTAGGGTAGTCGGATGGGGATAAAATCGGAAAAAAGAATAAAACAAACATAGAATGAACATTATTTAGAGGCCGGGTGGAAAGATGGACGCAGGCATCACGTTTGAACAGAGGACAATCAGTAAGAGAAGAACCAGACCGGGAACCCTGACATGATGACCAATATTGAAAAGGGCTGTGCCTTCATTGTAAAAGGGTCCACGCCCCCCCCATTCTTTTGGTTGTGCTGGCCTGGTCTTGAGGATATATAAGTGAAGGGACTCCTGGTACGGAAAAAAATCATCACCTCACATTTTTCCTTGATTCTAGCTGTAGACAATAATCAAAATACTCAAAAGAAAAAGGGTCAACTTTAACAGACCTTTCATTGTTTGCAAGGTCACACAGCCTGAAGCTCCAGATTCCAATGCTGCTCAAAGTTTGGATGATCCTCAGAAAGATATCAGCTCTTCTCATGAAATCAGTGGTGGACAACATGTAATGCTGGACCAAAGTACACCCAAGAGTTCACCAGCTTTGGTCCTGCAATACATGTTTTCCACCACTGTATTCATGAAAAGAGCTAATCTCATTCTCAAGATCTTTCCAACTATGAACAGCATTAGATTTTGAAGGTTTGACCTGTGTGACCTTGGGAACAATGAAAGGTCCTGAAGAAGTGACAAGGGCATTTTGCTTGTGTGGAAGTTGACATTTCTTCTTTTGAGTATTTTGATCATTGTCTACAGCTAGAGTCAACTGTCAATTACCAGTCATTCTGAGGAGATTATGAAGTCAGACTTACCATCTAACAAGTTTGTTTTGACCTTTGCTGTATGAGTCCTTTGGCCAAAGTGCAGTCATTTTTTCAATAGGCCCTCATCAGTTTTAGCCATACAACTGGAAGTTGTCATCCTCTAAATGCAAAGAATAAGCATGGTCAGAGATAATGGCATGGAGAGTGTCAGCTTCTAACTTAAGGTTAAGATAAAGGCTGAATGAAAAAGTTATAGGAGATAATCATGCCTTGATAACCCACAAGGTGGAAACTAGACTTATGTGAACTTGTTGTAGGTTCAAGACTCAGTCTGACCAGTGGATCTAAGTAACATAGGACTTGTTATTGTCTTGCCTGGGAGTTTAGCTAAGTTGTTGGTGCTTTAGCTAGGAGGAGTAGTCTGAGCCTTGTTGGTGGGTTTCTTTGTAGACTAGGTGGGTAGGGAAGTAGTTGATACTTGACTTATCCCAGGGATGGTAAAGTGAGGTTTGATAGAATGAAAGGATTGCACTAGAAACAAATCAAGCTTGGCAAAAAAGGGGGAGAGTAGTGATGGAAAGGGAGAGGACAAGAATAGAGGTATTTTGACAGGAATATGTGAGTCTGACTACAAAGCAAGTCTTCAGAAACTAAAGTAAAAGTTTGTTAATCAGAGATGACTTCTAAGAAATAAGATCTTGGAAAAATGGTAGTGTAATATTTCAGTGAGTCCTCTTTTCATGGCTCTGAGATGGATTTTTTTTTTATACTTTATTAGATGAAGGTCTCTGGTTGAATATTCTATTCTGTTCCATAGGAACTAGTAAGTAACTAAGGGTTTGAAACCTGAGCCTCTTAGTTGTTGGTTTCCTCCAGGTTCTGGCTCTATTGGTCAAGGCCTAGTCCAGAAGGGGAAAGCCCTCTTTCTGAGGATGGTCCTTTCATGTATAGAAAGTTACCATTGTGTAGCTTGGTACCAGCAAAAAGGTTACATTCCTTCAAAGAAAATTTCCTTTAGGTACATATGTGTGTATTACATTGACTCTTGTTATATGAGTGTATATGTAATTAGTCATAATATAAGCATTTTGTTTATTTATTTATTATGTCTCCTTGAACCTGGAGTCTTGAAGTGTTTATTATTTTTTGTGTTTATTTGTTTGTCAGTTTGTGGTATATCACATTATACTCAAGGTCTGAAAGAGAGTATAAGTTGACTGGGAATAAGTCTAGAGTATATAAACTTGGGGGAAGTCCTTTCACTGATAACAACATGGAGAGTATAAATTGACAAGGGAATAAGTCTGGAGTATATAAAATTGGGGGCAGTTCTTTCACTTTGGATCCCAGTCAGGGTCAGGAAATGCAATCAATACCATTCAAAAAAGGAAGTTGACCCACAGAATCTCAAATCCCTTGACCAGTGAAGAAAGATTGTAAAATTGAAATTGAGAATCCATACTAAACACCCAATTTCTTTCATAATCACACTTTCAACTCCTGAATAGGACTGCCCCAAAAGGCCACATGGATTAAATTGATAGTGATGAAGTTAAATATATGCAATTAATTCTTTTTAGACAGTTTTGGTTTTGAGTGGATGATGATCAGCTGTTGAACTGCTTGAAACAGACAGTTGAATTGGACTAGATTGGAATAGAGAATTGGACCAGAGTTGGATGGTTGAATCAAGTTCATCCGAGTGAGTTGATGTGGGCAGCTGAAGCAAGTGATGATGAGGTAAGTGTTGTAGTTGTACAAAGAAGGAGGAGTCACATAAACAGATCTGGGTACAAACCATATTTGGCATACATACCCAATTAGGGTAAACACTGAGACAGAAACCCTAGTCACACATACAGGTGTCAACAAAGACCAAAGAAGCAGTGTAAGAGAGGCTACTTTGGGAAGGGGAAAGTCTGCCAACAGGGAGAATCAAACCCATTACATCATAGGGTGAGACTGCACCTAAGGCAGCAATTACCAACTAGGCTATGACAGCTGTAACTGACACATTTCAAATGGGCTTAACATACAAATTCATGCATCTTTGACTCTTTTTGTTTATCTTTATCTCTGTAGTTCTATCTGGAAGGCCAAGGGTGCTGCAGCTACACCCAATCTATTTTGGGCCTGTCAGGAGGCACTTGGTGAGATGAATGGACCTGGTTTGGGAGAGAATTTGACAAGATGATTGGTGGGTCTAGTAGTATCTAGCATGTATGGATTTAACCAAATCTTACTAACTGTTTTATTTGGGTGATAATACCTTTGCTAGCAATCATACATTTACATTCAACAACTTTTACAATATACCACACATTGATAATGGTTCAAAGGGTTGGACATTTGGGATTATGATGGCCATGGATCTGCATACTCAAGGATTGGCCCAAGTGGGAAAGGGATTTAATGTCACAGGTGGTGAATTTGTTTGGACTCTTCTCAAGACCCATGTCAAATTTGAGGGATTCGATGGCTATGTTAAACTGATGTGGCAAGGTATTCAGGTGAACCTTTTTACTATGCCCTCTCACCACCAAGAAAATTGCATTGCATAGAGGCATGCTATGTCACATAGCAGGCCAAGATGTGATGCAATAGGTCTATTTTCCAAGGTAGGGACCTTGAAAAATG